TGGGTGCATGACTCTGTCACATTACCTCCAGGCCTCTGCAAACCTACTTTGTGCATAAGCGCATGACCCTTAACTTAGGGGTGGCTGTGGATGACGGAAAACTACATTCCTTATCTTTGTATTTTTCAGATCAGAGATGACTGACTTGTGGCATTTTCCTAGCTAGGTGTTTGCTTAATCACTGCCTCTTTGTTTACTGTTGTTCCAAGTTCTCAAAACACCACTCTGCAGCAGGGCATGAGGCAAATAGACCACTAACAAGCAGAGAGCCACTAATTAAAAAGTCTGTTCTTTTCCAGTTCCAGGATGTACACAAAGCCACCTGACTCACATACAGTGAGAAGTTTTAGCAATGAGGTACTGTATGGAATTGAGAATTAGCACCAATCTACTACTGCAGGTTATGCCATTCCCCTTACACAGGTGTGAAGTTATGCAGAATGATTTTCGCCATGCAGGCTGTGTTCACAAATAGAATATTTTCACTCTGGTTTTTTATTGCATGGTAGGAAAAGTTGTGGGATTGGGGCAGTAGGGGACAGAAGTGATTGTTTTGACAGTTGTCACAATCAGCAACAGATGTCCACTTCCTGAACTGTGTGGCCCACAAACTCCAGTACAATTAAGCTTGTTTAAAAATGGGAGTACCAGCTTGGGGGGTGGGGTCAAGGACTGGCATTTTTTAAAAGCCTATAAATTGTGTGGTAGTGCAGGGGAGCATACACTTGGGGCTAGGGGCAAGTGAGGGTGGGCCAGCCTTTGCCCATTTCTAGTTCCTGGCCTCCCTTGCAACTTGAAAAGCTCCCCTTAAAGGAAGACTATCCTTGACCAGAAGATATTCCCCACTCTTGACCTAGGTTCTAGGCAATGAAACCCTGAAAGTAGGATTAATATTGTCAATGGTTACCTTTCCACCACTCTCTCTTCTATTTCATGAACAACTGCCAGCCCAAGGTGAAGTGCTGATCACTTGACTCATCATGCCTATGGGGACTATGCTGATTGATGTTAGACTGAACCAGGATTTGGCAGCTACGTATGGCCCTCCAAATGTTTTCTATTGATGAATCGAGGAGGAACCACAACTCGTTGGTGAAACATATGCTTTGCATATGGAAGGTTCCATCTTCAGTCTCTGGTATCTACAAACTGGGATGGAAAAACTCCCACCTGAAAGCCTGGAGATCAACAGCCTGTATCAAAAATGCTGAGTTTATTTGGTCTCACTCATTATGTCCTTACATGATGTAACCAGCTCAACAATGTTGAGGTTCTATGGGAATTGCCATCCCAAAACACCTGGAAGGCCACAGTTGCCCACTCTATCTCTAAACATACTGGTGGGATGGGGTGGGGCATTTCAGCAGCAGCAACAAACTTTCTGTGTTGGTATTTCTTTTCAAAAGGTATCTCTCATGGTGGGTGCTTTGCTCACTCAAAAGACATCACTCGGAAGCACCAAAAAAAGGCCATATACTCAGATTTCAAGAAATACACTCTCTTCCTTCAGCCTCCTCCTTGGTGCGAAGTGTGAGGCAAGTACACAGAGGACCTGTTGAACTGAGGAGTATGCATAAAGATGAAGACAGTTTCTGGGTTTTAAGGAAACCTTTTGTCAAAGTGTATGACTGGAGCATCTCTACTTGCGGCATCCATAAATCTCAGCCCTCTGGATAACGAACATCCCCTTAGAAGCTCCATCTTTGCCAGAAAGGGATTTGGGTGTTAACCCATTTCAAAACATAAAAAGAGAGGAGGAGAAGGCAGCAACTCCCATCAGCCTCAGACAGCCTTTGTAGTCGTCCAAGGACACCCAGGCGGCTATCCATTGGTGGCTTTGCAATCAACCCCCAACAGAAAGAATAGCTTTCAATCAAAAAACACAAAGACCAGATACTGCTTGAATAACATAGTTCAAAACGTGAACTAAAATCTGGAAGGCAGAAAATAGCAGAAAAGCAGAGTTTGAATTTTGATTATTGCAATATGAATAGACTGGATGTCAGTATATTTTTGTTTCTCCTTCTCCCCTTTTTTCCCCTTATACCCCTCCTTACCTTCTGTATCCCATACCCTAAACCCAAGTTATTAAATAATAATAATAATAATTAATAATAATTTAAAAAACCCACAAAGACAGTTGTTTACTTAAATAATCTTTAATGATGGTTCATGCTCCTGTTTGATAGGATTCCTAACACCACAGTGCAGTACAGACAAGCAAACTGTTCATCCACACTACGGAGAAAGAAGAGAGTAATTGCTGAGGTGATCCAAATCCCCTCTCCAGCTGACAACAAAGCAAAACCCAACAGGATGTACCTACCAGGTACCAAAAAAGAAGAAAGGAAGGCTGTGGCAAAGAAGAGGCAAGTGACAGATTACAGGGAGCACAAGGTCAGGGAGGAGAGAACTCTCAGCACAGGTAGCGGTTATGTCCCACTCAGTGGACATGGTTGGTACTCAATTTCTTCACATCTTGTTATCCTGCCTTGGCCCAAATCGGTGTGGTTCTGATCTGCAAAGGCACCCCTGCAGGCTCAGATCAAGACGAAACATTTCCACTGCTAGAGTTGGAGGGGAGGGGGAGCATGAAGATGGAGGCAACTTATTCCTTCCAGGCCATGGAGGTGGGATGCCAGACACTCAAAGAGGGTGTGTTAATCCTTGAAACTGTTTTCCCCACTTCTCTCACACACATGCACACAACAGTTGGTCATGACATAAAGTACAGCAAGCTCCTGTTCCAAGGTAGAATCACAAGGGGTGTGTGTGTTCTACTCAGTCTTGGCACACTCCACTCATTACCCTAAGCAAGGCACTGGCTACAGATCTTGAACTGAACATTTTGGTCCATGGCAGTCAAGTGAGAGGGCATTAGAAGCTCCCTGCCGTTCATTCTTGGAAGCATCCCTCATTACCTGCATCTGCCGCCTCCTGTTCCAAGGTAGAATCACAAGGGGGGGGGGAGGTTTCTACTCAGTCTTGGCACACTCCACTCATTACCCTAAGCAAGGCACTGGCTACAAGAGAGATCTTGAACATTTTGGTCCATGGCAGTCAAGTGAGAGGGCATTAGAAGCTCCCTGCCATTCATTCTTGGAAGCATCCCTCATTACCTGCATCTGCCGCCCAGCTACAGTTCACAAAAATGCCCTGAATTGAAACTGCTTGCGGTTTTAGGGTCAGAAGGTGCCTGGCAGCAATAGGGAGGCAGTATTTAGGAATGGACTGCTGTGGGCCGTGTTTTTCATGAGCATACCAAATGTGCCTAAAGGGAACAAGTGCTCTTTCAAGCTGGTTTCTTGCTCCAGGAGGGCTGGCTCACAAGGAAGAGTCCGCTAGGACGCATAGTTCTGAGAACTACTGAGGACTCCGTCTCTTTCTACATAGTCAGCAGTCTGCCTGCTGGTGAAGCTCAAAAGCCGGGTTATAGTGAGTCACCTGGTCAGAAATCTGTGGACGGTGCCTTCTGTTGGGATGGAGCTCTAAGTATTAGGAACATTTTATGGTGTGGGACTCAGTAGACAAGAGCTGGAAAAGGTAGACATCCGTGGTCTCTTCTCTTCTTAAGCATCTCAGGCTTGAGCCACGCAACTTCAGGCAAAGGCAGGGTTTCTACATGATTTCTTTTCTAGGTTCATTATCTGCCTGCAACTAAGAGGCTTCAATCTGTTCTTATATCACCAGCAATTTTGCTGGTAAGGAAGTTGCACCACTTCTATGTTTCTCCTCTTCTTGCTGAATATAGGAAGAAAATCTGAAGATACATTACACAGTGATAGACCTGACAAGAGGGAGTCTCCCCAGCCCAGGACAAACAGGACAAGGAGATTAGTTCTGTAGTGTGGAGCTAAACAGCCTACCCAGCCCAAAGCACATGTGAAGCAACCCATCTATGATACAGAGGATGGATGGGTAGGAAGATCTCCGGACAGGCACATGTGTCAGGCCCCTGTATGGTGTCCGGAACAGATGTGGGGACCATTTTGTACCTTAAAGCAAGGAAACAAAGCAGCACCAGGGAGGAGCAGTCAGATAGTGAATGGTGCAGCAGCGCTGGCTAATATCTACCTTTCCCCAACAACAATTTTCCGGACCTAACCCCTTTCTCCCAAAATTGCTACCATGCAACATAAGAGGAAGAGAAGATACAAACATAATACAGGCACCGGTTCTCCTTTGCTCCTGGCAAAATAGCAGCTTTGAAGGGACAAGTGTAGATTAGGTAAATGGCTTAACCTAGCTCGTTTTAACTTGGTACCCTCCAGATGTGTTCAGCTACAGATGAGCTCCTGCATCCTGACTATCCTATCTGTGGGATTCCAGAAGTTGCAACACACCTGGAGGGTTGGGGATGGCTATGTTGGCACATTCCCCTTCCCCCACAGGGTAAGTGGTGTTATCAAAACTGAAACTGAGTCGTTGGTTTTTTAAAACATTTCAAAAACCTCAGAGCTGATCACAGCTCTTCCACATTGTGCTCATTCTGACTTTAAGGCAAAGGCTGTTTCGCCTAAACTGGACAGGTATCCTGGTTCCAAGGCATCCGTCCCCAACCCCACAGGGAACAGCCTTACTCTACCATTGCCAGAACCATATTCAGCTTCATCTTGTAGCATTAATAAAGATATGCTCCCCCTTCTGCTGTTACATGATTGTAGAGAGGGGTTGAGAAAGGTTCACGAAAGATACACACAAGTTAAAAGTGCCAGTATCTGGCACACTAGCTTCTCACTATGACCTTGAGCTAGACTCAAGCCCTTCCACACTGGTTCACTTGCAATTATCTACCAGCTAAGGTGTGTGTGTGTGGGGGAGGGGGAGCATTTAAAGAGGTAATGTTTTCCTTGAGATTAAGGAAAGACTAAAGGTTAAGAGCTTTTAAAAGGCCAAGCAAAAAACTTTAGCCTCTTGGCCACTCTTCAGACTAAAGCCTAACACTAAAGGCTGGAGGTTGCTGCACAGCTGGAACTGTGGCAATAAATGACAGGGCTGGCTCAAACGATAAGGAAGAATTTACTGGCCAATGAAAAATGGCAGCTGGCAATTGTCAAGTAGAGAATAGAAGATGCAAACAAATCCAAGGTAGCAGAAGGCAATGTCACAATGCTTTAGCCTTTGGCTTAGTTAAATACAGAGTCTCTCATTCATTCTGAATATAACCAAGACATGAGATTATTCACTGGTGTTTTGTGTTGGGTTTGTATACACATGCTAAGGCCTCCAAAATGTATTCAGCAGTTCCCTGGCATATGCATTTTCTAACTCTGCCGTCTTCACTCATAAACCCCACAGCCAGCAGTTCAATTCAAGACGCAGGAGAGATTCTTCTTCCCAACCTCCCAGACCTCTTTCTAACCGTTTACCACCCAAAATGGTCCCAGCCATTTACCGAGTGCAAATAAAACATAAATGCCTTTCCAGGGGAGACAGAAAGTAATGGCAAGCTTCAGAACAAAAACACAATAGGAAGTTAAAAGGGTTCGTGGGGTGGTGGTCAAAGGTCTCTTCATGATCACAGAACAGCCCCACTTAGGCAGGCCAGAGTGGGGCTGAATGGGAGCTGGTGAACCATCCACTCTTCAGCGAGCATCCAGGCTGGAGCTCATGGTCAGAAGGTCTTCCTCCTGGATAGTCTCCAGCTCCTCAGTCTGCACTGCCTGCGTGATGAGGGTCAGCTCCTGGCAGAGGGTCTCGTAGCGGTAGGCCACCCGAATGTCTGGCACGTTGGTACGCCGGATGTCGTTGCCCTCAGGCCCCTCTTTCAGGTAGTGGGGTCCAAGCCAGTAGCTCTTTACCTGGGCAGTGGAAGGCAGAAGACAGCTCCCAGTTAGAACAAAGAGCAACCTAGGTTTCCCACGGTCCCACTCAATCAGGGAGTTCAAGTTAACACAATGCAATACTTTCTTCTCTCTCATGCAGAGCGGCCTCTACTTTCTACTTCATTCTTGTTATTTGATCCTTGGGTGGGGAAGAGCTCCACATTTTACTGCAGCAAAGGAAAACACATCTGTTCTTTTAAAAATAGTGACCTCATCCCCATTGTTCCTTCACCAAGCTATTTCCCCATCAACAGCACACAAGACTGGCATTAGTACAGAACTAAGGAATAAATCCCAGGAGCTCTGCTGATATCTTTATGCCTTCTATAAAAAGCCTCATAAAACACTGTTCATGCTGGCACAGGAAGATTACCAAATCTTTATCTTGTTCTCATTGACTGGATTTTATTTAATCCACCTCGTTTTTATTTAATGCTTGCATGCGTTCACGCTCCCACTTTTAGGAAGGAAATGATGGGCAGGTACGTTCATTATTCCTTATCTACCTACTGCAAATTCATTCTCCAAATGTGGATCCTTTTGTAGACGAAACAATGACATCTGCCCACAAAGGAGAGACAGCAGAAGGCTTTAGAGAACCTAATGGTTTGTAGGAGCTAAAAAAATATTCAGAGGGGAAATTTCTAGAAGCAGGTAAGGAGGAAAGTAGACTGAAATAAAATACCCTAAAAAGGGACATGGCTGGCTGGCACTGTGAACAGGAGGATTCTCCGCTGCAGCATTTTACCATACGTCCCATTTGTTATCTATATGGTTAAAGGGAGCCAAAAAGTGTCAAGGTAGGAGAGAGGTTGGAATTGCCTTTTGACAACAGTCTCCCCATTGCCTGAAATATCTCACAAAGACAGAAGGTTGTGCATGCATGCTACCTTCATCTTGCCAAGCAGAGAGATTTCACCTCACACCAGTGTCATGACCAGGAGATGTGGGACAGAATTGGGCTCAGAAGGCAAATACCATTTGATAGGCATTCTTCAGACATCACTTCCTGCCACCCAGGGGCCTATTAACAGTGAGGGGGAAATCCTCTCTCGTGGCTGAAAAGAAGACACTGATAGGGGAGACCCAATAACACAATGAGCCTAGTTTCTTCCTTCTCCCAGCACTGATGGTGACTGTTCCTTTGTTGGAAAAGAGCCATGGAGAGAGGAAAACAGGATTCAGAAGACACCTGATTCCTCCTAGTGTAATTCCCACCTGCCCCCTTTCAAAGGTCACAACTTGTCACATTATAAAACAAAGACATGTTCAGATAGTCACTTCAGGACCACGTGCATCTAGGTGAAAATTTGAGATTGGACAAGGGATTTCAAAGAGATATCCATCTTTTGAAGTCAGACAGGTAAACCCACACAGACCAAAACACCCTGCCTTGAGCTAAAGTGTGTCAAGATGGGAGGGGGCTGACATAAGTGTAATTGGCAGGGGGTCAAAGCATAAGGACTATCTCCTTTAGAAAAGATCCAGGGTTACCTTGTGAGAGAAGCCACTCATGAGCACACTGTTGCGTGCAAGCTCACACATGTCACAGGAACTTAGCTTCCACACCTGTGTGGCAATGCTATACTCCTCCATCAGGGGCTCCTGTAAGAGATGCATTGTCACTTAGGCTGGTTCAGAGACAAATGAGAATGAACATAGGGAAGTAACATATTAGTAACAGTAACTGCATGCTGTCCAGTCGATTCTGATGTATGATGACCCTTCCCAGGGCTTTCTAGGTATAGAGTACTCAAAAGGACTGGTGTAGCTGAAAGACAGAGTTATGTGAAGCACTGCTGAATCATCCTGTGAGTACAGCTTAGTTATTTATTATTATTTATGTATTTATTTACCCCACCTTTGTCCCCGAAAGGACCCCTGGGTGCTGAAATCATTAAAAGGACCATATAAAAAAGTTAAAAACAGTAAGTGTAAAAAAATATTTAAAAAATAATTAAACAAGTACCATATTAAAAACAGTAAATAAAATCAATACTACAAACATATTTAAAAGCAACAGAGCACGACAATTCATTCAAACGCCCCTCTCAGCCAGCCAGTAAAAGCCTGCTTGAAGAGAGACGTCTTTGCCTGCTTGTGAAAGGACAGCAAAGATGGGACCAGCTAAGCCTCCTGTGGGAGGGGGTTCCAGCGCCTGGGAGGAGCAAGAGAGAGGGCCCTTTCCCGTGTCCCTGCCAAGTGCACCTGTGAGGGTGGTGGGACTGAGAGAAAGGCCTCCCCTGATTATCTTAATGCCCAGGCAGGGTCATAGAGGGAGATGCGATCTTTTAGATAGCTTTCTAAAAAACAGCTATCTAAAATATCTTTTAGATAACTCTTTTAGATAGTTGTACTGCTTCGCTGGCTAGCCATGGTTCTCCCTCTTGGAGGACCACAGTTCAACCCTTTCCTTGGTCCTTCCTCAGCAGCTTTGCTGGATAGAAATGAAACCAAACAACTGAACAGAGAGTCGCTAGGTGGCAGCCTTTTTGGTATCAACATCTGCTCAGAAATGGGGAGAGGAACAGATGGCAGGTTCTGTCCAAATGTACAGCACATTATGTCCTTGAGCAAACAACAACAGACATGCAAATTCTACCTAGAAATGCAACACATCAATCACAAAATAAAAGCTGCAACAGGAATACAGTGGTACCTCGCAAGACGATTACCCCGCAAAACAACAAATCCACATGACGACAAGGTTTTGCGACCGCCATTGCGCGTTGCAAAACAGTGTTTCCTATGGGTGATTTTCGCTATATGATGTTTCTGTCCATGCTTCGTAAGACGGTTTTTTTCCCCCCGGGACCGATGGTTCGCAAGATGATTTTTACAGCTGATCGGTGGCTCCGCAAAATGGCTTCCCTATAGGCGATCTTCACAAAACGATGACTATTTTCCCCATTGGAACACATTAAATGGATTTCAATGCATTCAAATAAGGAAACACTTTTCGCAAGACGATGTTTTTGCTAAACAGTGATTTCAATGGAACGGATTATCATCGTCTTGCGGGGCACTACTGTACAGGAAAACATGAAATCTCCTTCTGGTTAACAGCAGCTAGTGAGCATATTTCTGAATTCCTCCCCAGGGATTGAGACGGCCCAACATGTTCTGCTGCCTGAAGTAGAGCAGTCCCCGACCCCTGAAACTAAGAACTGCATAAATACCTAACCTCCTACCTGTCTGTAGAAATATTAAATACATTAAACAGTGAACAATTTGCTGCCCTGCGGTGGTCCTCTGAATCAGCTTTCTAGGGCCAACCCTGAATAAGGAAATGAAATCTTAGTCCTCAGAGCCAAGTTCTACAGCTAAACAGACAAAATCGGAGGCTCTCAGGAGACAAATGAGTTGTTGGTGTTAGGCGAGAGCGGCTTTTATGAAAGGAAACAAATTATAAGCAGATCACTTTTAATTCATGTCAAAAAGGATGGGCAGCAGATCTTGAACTGACCTTGTAGGAAAAACTGACAGGAGCTGGGGGCGCTTTGGGTTCAGACTGACTCAACCCTGGACTCTGCATATTTCTGATTAACCCCATGGCAATGAGAGTACAGTAATATATAACAGCTAATCAGAAAGGGCAAAGGGCAGAAGAGGAAAACACCCGTGCCAGAGGCATTTAGAACAATACTGCTTTTCTCACCCCAGGCTGCGCTGGCTCAGGCAGGCAGGAGTTGCAGTGCAACAACATCTGAAGGGCTGAACTTTGCTCCATTCCTGGGCTACTAAAGGAAGGTGGCTCCTCTCCCTATGTGCCACCCTCCATGACACCACGGCTCTGTTTCTCCTTTGCTGCATCACACTCACCTTAGTGAAGTGGAACTGTAAGGGATCATCTGTGGAGAGGGACACCATGAGGCCCCGAGACAGATACTCTGGCAGAGGGTTGCGATGATAGCTCAAGAATAGGCTGTTATTGCTAAGCGGAGACATGGCAATGCCGATCTGGGCCAGGTAATAGAGGTACTGCAGCACAGGTGCCTAGAGAGAAACTCAAGGTTAGAAGATGGGCAGCATCTCCTATAAACACATGGGGTCGCACTTCATGCTTTGGTCAGAGAGTATGGCAACAATGCATAGATCCCCACTCCCTCAATTTACCCAGAAAACCTCTTTAAGATATAGCATTATCTTTACTTCATAGATAATCTTCTGCGCTGACTGTTCACACTTTCCTTTGCTCTCTGCCTCGGTGACAACTGCATGCCTCCTGTGTCCAAACCACTCAGTGACAAAATAGCCTCAGGCCTCATTCTGCAAGTCCATCTGGGCCTCAAATACATGAGGAATGCATGGAGAATTCCAGCTGAAAATGTTTGTCTTTCCCAGAGCATGAAAGAGCTACTTTTTCAAGCTCAGGACCTTTTAGCCCATAAATCTCTACTTTGCCTAACATTGGCTCTTGCAGGGTTTCAAGCAGAAATCCTTTCTCAACACACCTTAATTGACCACTTCACCCAGAAATGCCATATTATTTGAGTAGCAATGTATCTGTGAAGATCCTCAGTGATCCAGGTGAGGTTATCTGGAAACTGGGTCATGGAAACTGGACTTCTTTCTTGTTACATAGGTTGAAACATTTTGCTACTCATCCAAGTAGCTACTTGGATGGGTAGTGAAATGTTTCAACCTAATAAGAAAGAGGTCCAGTTTCCATGACTCAACTTCCAAATATTATTTGAGATACTGGAGATATCTAGTAGCTCGCAGTTGCCCCCTTCCACCAAAGTATGATCCTCTCCCCACCTCCATCTGTCTTGTCATGTACATATCCTTGTTTTCATGTGCAGTACCATGTGATGCTACCAGTTTCCATGACTCAACTTCCAGATATTATTTGAGATCCTGGAGATATCTAGTAGCTCGCAGTTGCCCCCTTCCACCAAAGTATGATCCTCTCCCCACCTCCATCTGTCTTGTCATGTACATATCCTTGTTTTCATGTGCAGTACCCTGCTTCTCACTCTCTTACCTTGCGGAGCAGGAGGCCATGTGAGATATTCTCTGACAGCATGAAACCTGATACCAGGTGGTGAATAGGGCCTGCCTCCCCACAGTGGGGGCGCAAAACAAAGGTGTGGAAACCTCTCTTCCTAAAGGAAAAGGAAAACAAAGCACACTGTTCAGTGTAACGATATAGTCCCATTTTATAGCAGCAGCAAATAGCAAACCAGTAAGAGAAGAGAAACCAGAAGCCATCAAGATATCAAGGGACCTGGGCATTAAAGCATCTAGTATGCTGTCTTGCAGCATTACCAAGCTTCAAAAGGAACTGGGTTCGGGGATTCGTATTCAAATTGTTAGAAATTAGGAGATGTGGAGGTACCATTTTGGAGGCTAAAATGCAGAACAGAGAAAGAGAAAAGTGAGAGACACCAACCTGCGGAGGTGATTCAGTACCACCATGTTGGCATATGTATAGTAAAGATAGTACGAATAGGGTGGGTTATCTTCCTCCATCCAATTCCCAGGCAAGGGACTGTCCAAGTTGAAGATGTGATGTTCTGGTTTGGATTCATCATCCACACTATCAAAACCATCCACCTGTGGATTTGGAAGCCAGAGGAAAAAAGATCAGAGAGGAGATAAGAAGGCTCATTTCACTTTCATGGGCCTTTGTGCCCTCTTTCATCCGTCAAATGTTTAGAGAGTCTTATTCATCAACATGCCACCACCACCACCTACATCATTTTATTTCTTCAGTAAGACTGAAATGTCCACACCATGTCAGATTTAATGAAGACTGGGCATTTGGCCATGTTCTACCAAAGTTAGCTCCTTCAGCAAAGGCACCCAAACTCTACCACATAAAATATTTGGGCAGTGCTATCCTTCACTTGGTCTCAAACGCTGAAGGCTTCCCAGCCCTTCCCTTCCCTTCCCAAATAATCACAACGTTGCTTTGGTAGCAGCACTTACATGCTCCAAGAACAGATGCAACTCTGGATGGCTGGCAGGGTGGACTGTTGCTTCGAAGAGAGGTAAGAAAATGTTCTCCAGCATCTCCTGGAAGTTGGCCAGCTGCTTCTTTGTCTTGTATACATCACTGTTGGAAGCCAAGATGTAAGGGCACGGTTGTTATTTGCTGGGACCTAAAATGTTGGCTGCCCCTCCCCCCACTCCACGCAGTTTACAGGTCTTTGATAAGTTCATTCCCCACAACTCATTCTATATTATATTGAGATCTATCGTGAACTGTGGTGTGACTGGAAATCCCACATCCCTGATTCTCCAGAAAGCCAGAAGAGCAGCTACAGTGGCCCTGGTTCAAATCCCATCTCTCCCACAGAAATGTAAAGTGGCATTAAGGTAAGCCACACCCTATTCAGATTCAAACATCTCAGGTGCAAGACAGGTAATACAACGCTGGGCTCATCAAGGACACGCGTTAGTGAAAAAACGGAGTTTTAAGAATTGACATTAACAACACTGAATGCAGGCTGGATAGCTCAGTGGTTTATTTAGATAGCTGGCTGCAGAGCTAGAAATTGGGAGTTTGATTCCCCACTATGCCTCCGGAGAGTACAGCCAGCCTGTGTGGCCTTGGGCAAACTGCACAGTCCCAGGGCACTCCTAGGAGGAGGGAATGGTAAACCACTTCTGAGAATTCTTTATCTGAAAAACCATGCAAAGGGTTGCTATAAGTGAGAAATGACTTGACAGCTAATGATGAACAACACTGGAAGTAACCTGTATGTTTTTCAATACTAGGATAAGCAACAGCTGGAAGCTATGTAAAAGATAGACTTAAACTCAGGAATTATCCCTGGTGCCTAGAGCAATGAAGTAGTTTGGAACACACATATACTAGTGTCTGCTCTGAACAGTTTAATTATTCAAGATATGCCAGAATATTGTAAAGAACAAGAATACAGTCTCTCACCAACTTGTTCTTCTATGTATCTTTTCTGGAATCTAGCAAGACTGAAAACTACTTTTAGATTAAAATCTATATATTCAGAGTTTGACTAGAACACCATGGATGTAACTTGGGCAATTCTGTAAGGATGAACTTGATCTAAAACATTAGGGGGGGGGGGCATGACCATAGACTAGTGATTCTTAACCTGGGCGATATCGCTCCCCCCCAGAGGGTAGGGGAGCGATGGAACAAAAAGGGACGATGTGGGGGTGAAGGAACAGAAGGGGGGCAATAGGAGGTGATGGAGCTACCGCGCTG